TTTGATGGAAGAGGCACCATTTCAGCCTTGGCATTTGGACTTGGGAAGATGGACAATGGAGTCAGTCTCTCTCTCTCTCTCTCTCTCTCTCTCTTTCTCTCTCTCTCTTTTAGTAATACTAGGGATTGAACCCAGGGCCGAATTACCACTGAGCTAAATCCCCAGCTCTTTTTATTTATTTATTTATTTTTGGTTCTGAGGAATGAACCCAGGAGTGCTTTACCACTGAACCACATCCCCAGCCCTTTAATTTTTTTTTTTTTTTTTAATTTTGAGACAGTTGCTCAGGCTTCACTAAGTTGCTGAGGCTGGCTTTGGACTTGCAATCCTCCCTGCTTCAGCCTCCCTACCTGCTGGGATTACAGATGCTGCCACCACATCCAGCCCCTTTTTATTTTTTATTTTGAGACAGGATYTCAATAAATTGGTAAGGCTGGCCTGGAACTTGTGAACTTTAAACAAAGTATAAAGTGGGGTTTGGTTGAAACATTTTAGTCTGCAGTGAATATTCATGTGCCTTTCCAATTTCAGAGGCTCTTTGGAGTTAAGTGGGGCCATGTGACTAGTTGTGGCTAATGGGCTATAAGCAGAGGGATTGTGTCATTGTCTGGCCAAGTGCTGTAAGGGCCATATGCACCCTCCAGCCCTGTCTTCTGCTGCCACAGTGATCTGAGAGTTAAGGAGATGTCATTAGCCTAGATCCCTGAGCCTGGCATGGAAGGAGGCTGCCCAGGAGAGGCGCCGTGGACCTTTGTGAAGTGCAAAATAAAGATTTGTGGATTAAGACACTGAGATTTGGGGTAATCACCATGACACAACCTACCCTATCTTAACACAAGGGGCACTTGTATTAGGTGCTTCTAGTAGATTATATGGTACATTAGATAATGCCAAGGTATCATTGCCAATTTTGGTTGGGCATGATGATGGCACTGTGGGTAAGTGAGAAAATATTCCACACTGGCGGATGTGTAACTGAAGAACATAGGGGAGGAATGGCAGCCAGTCTGGATTTGCGTGTGTGTGTATGTGTGTGTGTGTGTGTGTGTGTGTGTTTGGGAATACAACCCAGGGCCTTACACCCGTCAGGCAAGATCTGCACTGAGCTATACCCCCAGCCCACAGAGATAAATTTTTGTCTACTAATTGCCAGCCCTGGGCCAGGACTCCTAGGTATGCCATGTCATTTTATCCTCTCAGGAACACTGTGAGAAGGATCACCAACTTCCTTTCACAGATGCATTTAACTGAGCTCAGGGATTAGGCTATGTGCCTGACTCCTACTGAATCACAAAGCCAGCCTCAAAGGCCCAGGATCATGTGATTGCCCCAAGTTGATCCAATGGCTTCTTCATAATTATTCTTTTGAAGGCCTGCCTAGTGGCCCATTTTATTGATGTAGGATAATTTACTGTAATTTACTAACTGCTGTCCTGTTTCTGAATCTTTGGGTTCTTTCTAGTCCTTTGCTTTCATGGATAGCTCTGCAAGGCAACTTCAGATTCAGAGATTTTTTTATTCTATTGAATTATTCCCTTACCCAGGTAGGCTATTTTGTGCGAACACACAATCATTAAAGCAGTTTATTCCTGGTGAGGTAGTTTTCATGAAAGGGCTGATATGGTCAACAGGATTAGAAAYTGCAGAAATATTCAGGGAGTGAGTRGTGAGGATAGGCCCGGGCAGGGCAGATAGGAGGGGCAGGAAGTGAGGGCCAGGCCAGTTTGGAAGTCAGTTCAAATTTCCCTAATGCTTTCCTGGCTCAAGCTGTTTGGGGTTTGAGGTAAAAGAGGGATTAGGCTAATTAATCCAGCATCCCTTCTTTGTCCTGATACCCAGCYCCATCCCTGGAGCCTCCCTCCATCTTTAAGAGAGGGTTGATACAGGACACCAACCCTCAGAATCTTCCCTAAGTGAAATGGGTGGAACAGAAGACTGAGGTCCACACACCCTTGGTCCTTCCCTAGTCCTCCCTTTCCCTAAGGCCAAGATTTCCCCACTGATTTGTGAATGCAAATGGCCTGTGGATCTGGTTAAAAGCAAGTTCTTATCCGTCAGTTCTGGAGCAGGGCTTGAGATCCTGCATTTCTAGCAAACTCCCTARGGGTGGTGATGCTTCTGGTCCTTGGTCCCACCGAGCAGCCATGCACTAAGGGTTCTGGCCCAGGTTCCTGCCTGGCCCACAGCCTGAGCTCCAGGTATGGTTTCAGAATTGAGATAAAAATTTAGAAGGAAGTGTAAGCCTTGGCAGGGGCAGGAACTTGTCTCCAAAATCAAGGCAGCATTTGTTTTGCTAAATCCAGCTCTGATGAGCTGGTTTCTCCCTCTGCAGACRGGAAGGACTTGCAAGAACAAGCCCAGCAAGAGGCTGAGGCCCAGAGAACCACTGGGGTGCCCAGGGCTGCAGAGTCTGCCTGTGGGAGGGGACTGGGGACACCCTGGGCCTGAGTCCTCTGCAGGCCTGTCTCAAAGACTGGCTGACCTGTACTTAGAGGTGGGGAATGGGGGGGGGGGGTCTGGCAAGCTCTGGGGACAGGGCCAGCCCTGTGGGGAAAATGCAGCTGCTGTGTGTGGGAGGTGGGCACTTGGGACCGCTCTGCTGAGGGCCGAATCAGCACTCCGACCTTTTGCCCAGGCCAGCCTTGGGAGGGGTCAGCTGGGGAGAGGCAGCAAGTAAATATAGATCCAGGGAAGGAAGCCAGGCAGCCCAGCCCTGCACTGACCTCTTGCTGAAGGCTGGGGAGGGCAAAGAGGGAGCAGATTCCAGCCCCCTAAGCAGCCCCCTAGAATTGTAGGAAGCAGTTGGAGCTGGGAGCAGAGCCTGTAAAAGGGCCAGGTGAGGCCAAGGGAAAGCTGCTCAAGAAATGCTCTTCTGGGGCTGGGGATGTGCTCAGGGGGAGAGTGCTTGCCTAGCCCGCAAGAGGCCCTGGATTGGACCCCTAGCACTGAAAGTGAGGGTGGAGGGGGGAGAGAGAGAGATTTGGGGGCTGGGGTTGTGGCTTCATGGCAGAGTGCTCGTCTAGCACATGTGAGGCACTGGGTTCGATCCTCAGCAGCACATAATAAATAAATAAATAAATAAATAAAATAAAGGTATTGTGTTATGTCTATCTCAACTAAAAAAAAATTAAAAAGGGGGCGCGATGCTGGGGTTGTGGCTCAGTGGTAGAGTGGTCGCTTAGCACATGTGAGGCCCTGGGTTCAATCCTTGGCACCACATAAAAATAAAATAAAGATATTGTGTCCATCTAAAACTTAAAAAAAAAAAAAAAAAAGGACTTGGGGCTGGGCGTGGTATCACATGCCTGTAATYCCAGCAGCTCAGAAGGCTGAGGCAGGAAGATGGCAAGTTCAAAGCCAGCCTCAGCAAAAGCGAGGCACTTAGCAACTCAGAGCTGGTGATGTGGCTCAAAAAGGGACATGGGGATCAACAAGGGGCAAAGGGTAAGAAGGCTGCCCAGGGTGTAAATTCATCTCCCCTTAACTCTCCCACTCACTCTCAGGGTGCAGGCGCTCCTCAGGCTCAGGCTACCCCCAGCCTGGCTCTCCTTGCCCCACACCGTGCCTGCCATGTCTGCCTGGCCCAGTGAGACGCCCCGGGCTCTTGTTTCTGGGAAGGGAATTCAGGCAAAGCAGCTGCTCCAACACAGACGCATTTATTGGCAAAACCTATTCCCAAGCCTGGTGGAGGGAAGGGCACTAGCTCCTTGGTGATGTTCAAGGGGCAGGGGGAGGGAAGAGGTGGGACATTTCAATCAGAGTAACCATCCCAGCAGCTCCCACMGAGGCCGGGCTCTCCACTGCTAAGCAGGGCTTTAYTTCTACTGTCTAATCCTTTAACATCCCTACAGGTAGGCACCAAGAATGTCCCCTTTATACAGATGAGAAAACTAAGGCATGGTGCCATGAGGTGGTGAGTGGCRGGTGGTGGCTATCAGGGCCACCCGAGAGCCTTCTGTTGGGAGCCTTCAGCAGCCTCTCTGCCAGCAGATTCTCCGTGTCTCCATTTCTCATCACTTGTTCTTTCAACTCTTTTTTATATTTTTGTTTTGTTAAAAAAAAAATAGATTTTGCCCATATTCTAGAAAAGACACTGTCTCCTACCCCATAGGATCAAATCTGGGTTCTCCCCAAGACTTGGTTTGGATGAGGTTAGACAGAGTGGGTCTCTAAAGGGGGACAGAGGTGTGTGTATGAAGCCAAAATACAATGAAAGCTCTGAGAAAATATACAGTTAATAAGTTACAAACCTCCCTCCCCTCCCTGACTCTACCATACCCTCCCTACCTCCCTCTACCCCCTATCCAAATCTAGAATAGACTATTATGGTTCCACAACCCCCAACCCAGGGCAGGGTCTTGTCTCAGTCTCCCCTGTGTCCACCGGGCCCAGGCCCTCAGTTAATGTGTGTGGAGTGAATGAAGAAGCACTTGGTGGGAAGGAGCAAGTACCTAGGAGACCCYAGTCCAGGCCTTCCCTGGAGCTCATCTGTACCCTCACCAGGACACCTCTCTGATCCTTGAGAAGAGGGTCTCAGGTAGGGCTGGGACAGGAAGGGGAGGGATAAGTCAGCCTATAACATGAGTATTATTATGAATGTACCCACTTTACAGAAGAGGAAGCAGAGGCTAGAGAGGTCAAGGGACCTGCCCAAAGTCACAAAGCCAGCCAGCAAAAACCTGAACCACCCCCAACATCCCATCTTTGTTACTACCCACATCTGTGCTTTGAAGAGGCAGGGCTCAGACCTAAATCTTCTAGCATGTGAGGATCCCCATGTGGCCATGTGGCAGCAAGAGGGACTATTGGCTGGATCCCCTGATGTGGGCCTCCTGGCCATCTCCAGGCAGAAAAACCAGTGTAGTTTTGTGGACGGTTTCCTAGGTACCTCCTCCCTCCCCACCCACAGGCTTGCTCCATGAGATGCCTCTGGACTTGTGCTTTCCCTGAGAGGGTGGAGAAGTGGAATGGTTGCGGGGGTCTGGGCCTGGACCTGCCTGTCACACAGGCATGGGCACCTCATCGTATTCATCTCGACCTTCCTCTTCATCAAAGGTCGCCTTGGCGTCATTGGCATCCAGCTGAAGTGGGGAGGAAGGAGAGAGGGTGAGAAGCCCCAGGCCTGATCAGGCACTTAAAGGCCCCTCTGCATTTACCAAAGGGTCTGGTTGTCCTTGAAGATTGGACAACTTGTGTGTCCCCCCACCCCCACATCTCTAGGGTTGTCTGAATGAGTGGTTCCCAAAGGACAAGGAGCCCTGGGATCAGGTACCCCAGCTGGGAGGGACCTGGAGAGGGTGAACAGAAGACCTTTTTACCACGGCAACCCCACAGTGACCTGAATCACATCATGGAGGAAGTCTATTCATGAAACTCTGTCCCAAATGATTTGGAAGGCTTGAGGACTAATGGCTCAGGGGCCGAGGCAGTTCATGTAGCACACAGCCCATGTTCCTTTTAACATTTCCACCAGCCCTCTCCTCTCCTTATTTCGCCCTTCACAGCAGAGGCACAGAGAAATGAGGCCACTTGCTCYAGATCATATTAGGACACAGCAGGCCAGGATTCAGACATTGTCCCCAGGCCCACACCTTAAACATCATGCTTTCCTGCCTCCCCTAGCTTCAAGATCCACCCTTCATATTCTTCCAGGCCTTTTGCTGTCCCCTACCTGTCCCCAGTCTGGAGTCCTGCCCCCAGCCTCTGGCCTCCCAGGATGCACTTGTCTGTGCCCTCCCTTCAGCCCAAGGCCCAGACCGCCACTCACACACTGGAGCTCCAGCTTGCTGAAGATGCAGGGCAGCAGGAAGTGCCGCAGGGGCACAGTGAGGATGAGGATGAAGGGCAGGGCCAGTGATGCAGGGGAGGACTTCACCGCCCACAGCCCTGCCAGGCAGAAGATCTGGATGCAGGTGAACATGTGCATACGCCAGGTCCTCACCTGCAGGGAGGCTGGGGTCAGTGCCTGCCCTGCTCCAGCAACCCCACCCCACCCAGGCTGCRCAGCCATCAAGGCCCTGTACCCGCTTGACGAAGGGCACGTCCGGGTGGTACTTGGGAGGCTTGCATAGAAGCAAGATGCGGTCAAAGAGCTGGATGCCGCTGAGGGACGTGACCCCCATGTATAGGAAGATGCCAAACAGCACGGCCAGGGGGATGCGGGACAGGATGGGCTCCATGAGGATGGACAAGCCTGTGGGGAGGACCACACACTCTCAGCCATAGGTCACCCAGAGGACCAGCACCCCTATTTGGGGTAATATGTGGGCCTTTTCTGTAGGTCTTCTTAATAGGTATTATTCCCATTTTTCAAATGAAGAAACAAGTTCAGAGAGGTTAACAACCCACCTAAGGCCACACAACTAGCAAGGAATCAAACTCCTCCTTGCCTGCCTTAAGTCCACACTTTTTTGGGGGGCGGTACTGGGGATTGAATTCAGGGGCACTTGACCACTAAGCCACATCCCTAGCCCTGTTTTGTATTTTTTTAGAGACAGGAGCTCACTGAGTTGCTTAGTGCCTCACTTTTGCTGAGGCTGGCTTTGGACTCGCAATCTTCCTGCCTCAGCCCCGCAAGCAGCGGGGGTGTGCGCCATGTCACTCGGCTAGCCCACACTCTTAACCTAGTGGGAGTTACTGAGTTCAGAGAAACCCATTCTCCTCACCCCACCCCAGAATATCTCCCCCACTCTCCACCTATCCAAATCCTAACCCTCTTCCAACTTTGCTTCCTTTAAGAAACTTCCTGGGGCTGGAGCTGGAGCTCAGTGGTGAGTGTGTGTCTAGTATCAAAAAGAGAGAGAGAGAGAGAGAGAGAGAGAGAAGAAGAAGAAGAAGAAGAAGAAGAAGGAGGAGGAGGAGGAGGAGGAGGAGGAGGAGGAGGAGGAGGAGGAGGAGGAGGAAAGAAAGAACCTTCCCTATCCTCTCCAGTGACTATGGCATTATTGCCCACATTAAGCCCAGACGAACTAGTCTTCTCTGAACTCAGATGGGGCCCAGTGACCCTCTGTCTTCTGCCCTTTGTCCCTGGAACATCACCCCTTGTGCTAGTCATAAAACAGCTGAACTGGAAGAGAGCTCAGCGGCATCTAATGAATTCCCTAACTGTACAGATGGGGAAACTGAGGCTCAGAGACCAGGAGGAGTACTGAGTCAGCAGCAGGGCAGGGCAGGGCAGGAACACACAGCTCACTAAGCTTCTGTAGGGCCAGCCCAGGGAGTGGTCTATAGAAGCCTCAGGGCGTAGCCCCTTCCTCCCCTGCTCAGATGCCCAGCCCAGTGTGTCAGCACTGCAGGAATTTCCTCTAGGTTTCCCTCCTGAGTCGATGATTCTGGGAGAGGTGGTCAGTGCCTGTGTGGGGACCTGGCTTCAGGGTGAACAGAGCTAGAGGAAACCTCGGATCCTTAGGGCAGGGACTGGGAGTAGGGTGGGCGGGGCAGGATGATGGAGGGCGGGACCAGCCCTCACTCACCCACAAGCACAGACACCAGGAGCCCGCTGATCCTCTGCTCCTTGACCTCCTGGATCTGGGCTGCAGCCCCTGGCGCGCTGGCCTTGCCCATGACGGTAAGGGCGTTGGCATGGGTGACTGAACGCACCGTGGTGGCACTGAGCCAGGGCATCCCAAAAAGGGCGGCCACTCCACCCATGCCCACAACTAGCAGCAGATCCAGGTGAAAGCCGGAGCCCTTTATCATCTTGCGCTCGGGTTTGCTGACAATCAACCTGGGGGAGCGGGAGGTCTGGTCAGCCCCTATCTCCTTTGCCCCCTCCTTCCTTCCCTACGGTGGGGTCTCTCTGCACCCCAGTTTTGCCTCCTGTCCCTGTCTCTCTTTGAGTTCTTCGCTCCCTCCCTCTGGTTCATCTTGAGAATCTAGATTCTGGGAGTAGAAATGTCTTCAGAACACCCAAAGGTAGATTTGCTAAAGCTTAAAAAGCTGTGATTTCAGGGGGCTTTGCCTGTWTGGGCCTTTCTGAGAGTCAGCACCAATTTCATAGTTCTCATTTTTGCATTGGCATAAAAAGGGGCCTGAAAATTATGTAACTTCAGGAGCCACAAAACCACAGTCCAATACTCTTACTAGTGGGGTCACCTGCATGCTCAAAGCCTGCCCCTTTCCCTGCCTCGGACCCTCCCGGGCTCAGCTGCCATCCAGGCTCTTACGTGGTGATCTGAGACTCAAGGAATATGAGGATGAAGACCAGCAGGGCAGGCAGGGCAGAGGCGAACATCATCCAGATGGGGAACTCGGAGTATAAGCCCAACGGGTGGATGACCCAGCCTCGGGCTGAGGAGTTGGACACTTTGAGGCCATCAGGCACTGAGAGTTTCTGTGGGAGGAGGAAGCTGGTGAGAATACCAGGGGCGGGGGGATGGGGAGAGAAGGGGATAGCTGGAGTCAAGGTCCTGGGGGTCAGGGAGTTGAGTGGGGTGCTTGGGAATGTACTTATCTTGAGCACTTACTCTGTACCCAGTCACTGCACTAAGTTGTTCCCAATTTTATGGATGAGGAAACAGGATCCAAGGGGTTATGTAGCTTGCCCCATATCACAGAGCTATTGAGCAGCAAGAGCTGAGTTTTATATCCAGGTCTGCCTGGCTCAAAGTAGACACTTTTCTACTGCCTGAACTAAGGAGTAAAGAGGGTGATCTGTTGGGCTAAGGGGTCCTTTGGACAGTAGGAAGAGAATGGGGTTCCCAGGGGAGGCAGGGAAGAGTAGAGGTAGCTCTAATTGGGGAGAGCTGATCTGGGGAGGGGGCATACATGAGGAAGGAAATGAGAAGGGGGCTGTCAGAGGGGAGGAATAGGAGGAGGGGTCACCTGGGTGTAGGTTATGCCGGTGAAGTAATCCACCAGGACCATGAGGAGGATGGAGATGGGAACCCCAAAGTCCCCGATGATCCGACGCAGCTAGAGACAGATGAAGGGACCAGTGATCAGCATCCAGTTGCTCCCCACTTCCTGCCTCTCACCTGTCTTCCCTCTTTGCCACATTTATTCAGGGAATCCTAAGGGATCTATCAATATCTAATGGCCTTTCCTCACTTCAAACTATATCTTCATCTGGTTCAGCCCCACCCCCATGGTCACCCCCCCCCCCACTCCACCAAGAACTTTCCCTGGTTCCTTGCTGGGTCGCGCAGAGGGACCATGGGCTTGCCTGCAGAGTGAAACCCTGGCATGGGGGCCAGGGAGGCCTGGAATTGGGGATGGGTAAGAAGGGGAGTTAAGGATAGGGGCTGGGGGTAGCATGGGGACTTTGGCTTGGGACAAGGTAGTGTAACAAGGACAGGGAGGGAGGGTGTGCTGACCTTGCCAGGGAAGTAGGAGCTGTTCTTGAACTTTCGCAGAGTCATGGCAAGGAAGAAGGTGCCAGCCATGAGCACAAGGGAGAAGAGGGCTGTGTTGGGCAGGGCCACCTGAGGTTTGGACTCTACTATTATAGGCGGTCCATACTGGTCCTTCAGCGGGTGGTCCTGGAAAATCTACAACAGAAAACCAAGACATCCTGCTCCCTCCCAGCCTTGGCTTGGGACAAAAAATAGCAGCCAAATCTACCAGCCCTATCATCCATCTATCCATCATCTATCCATCCATCCATCATCCATGTATCTATCCATCCATCCATCCATCCATCCGTGCACCATCTATCCACCTTCGTCTTCAATTGATGTATTAATAGAGAGGATTCTACATCTTGGTTTTCAGGGAGGGATGAACACCAGGTTAGGCTTGGGCAGATGTGGGCCATGGAGACAATTAGTGTATGTGTGTGCAGATAAGCTTTCCCAGGTCTTGGAGGACACAAGAAGCCTGGAGGGTAAGAACAAGTAATCCGGGCACAGTGGCGCACACCTGTAATCCCAGCAGCTCAGGAGGCTGAATCAGGATCATGAGTTCAAAGCCAAGCTCAGCAATTTAGTGAGGCAAAAAACAACTCAGTGAGACCCTGTCTCTAAATAAAATACAAAAAATAGGGCTGGGGATATGGTTCAGTGGTCAAGTGCCCTTGGGTTCAATCCCTGGTACCTCTAAAAAAATTTTTTTTAAAGGGGGCTGGGATAAGCTCAAGGGTACAGCACATGCCTAGCATGTATGAAGCCCTGGATTCAATTCCCAGCACTGTGATAAATTAATTAATAAAATAGGCTGAAAAGACCTGGAAAATAGAAAGATCCACCAACCAGTAGAATCAAGGGGAGACATATAGCAGAGTGAAACCCTCCATATAATGTGCAGATGCAGAAGCAGGTGTGGTGACAGAGGCAAGGTAAGGAGCACAGTGTGCCCCTGGGTTCTTGAGTGCTAGTGTGTATGTGTGGGGCAGGTGGGKCAGGGCCTCACTGTGCACGCACATGCTGTTTCCCACGCAGCCTCGCTCACACACTGGCCCACTAGTCACATTGTGTGTGGTCATGAACATGGACATGGGTCCATAGAGGCGCCTTTTCACATGCAGCCACTCTGCAGAGTTAGCAAGAACACCGAGTCCCAGGCAGCAGGTATGTGGTCACCATCAGCGGATGAATGTATGATCTCACACTCATGCACTGTCACACGGTTATGCACACAGGTGGAACACGGCCACACAACACTGTACAGAGGACACACACAGTCACGTCTCATAGACCGTCTTGAGTGGTGTTAATAACCGCACAGACCCACACCTTGATCAGCTTGGAGAAGGTCTCGTAGATGAAGATGAGAGAGATGAGGAAGGAGAAGATCTCCTGAGTATAGCGGGTGATGAAGCGCACCAGGAAGCTGCCCTCGAAGGCCACCACCAGCACCACCATCAGGATAAGCCAGAAGCCGATCCAGGCACGGCCCACGATGTACTCCATGTTATTGTTCTCGCAGAACTGCAGGGCGGTCAGAGGACACCGAGTCAAACCAACAAGGCTCAGGCACAGGTGCCTCAGGCAGGTGGGGCCAGGGTCAGGGTCAGAGAGCTACCGAGAAGAAGGCTTCCTCAAACACCAGCAGGGGTCCTGAGAAGCCAACCACCAGCAGCGGCTGAGCCCCCAGGAGGGCAAAGATAATGCCCTGAGCCGCAGTAGAGATGAGCAGTTCCGACACCCCCATCTGGTTCCGGGTCTTTTCTCCTGTGGGGAAAGGTCAAAGTAGGGTCAAGGTCAAGAGGTTTTTCCAGGGACCACAAGAGCAGGTCATAGCCAGGCTGATGCAGGGTCCAAAGGGTCAGCTCAGATCACAAGTCAGGGCTGAGGCAGAGGCAAGAGGGTCAGAGAGGAGTTAGGAGGACAGTAATTGGTACTGACCCAGGAGGCCACCAAAGGTGATGGCAGGTGACAGGGCAGCAAAGTAGATGAAGATGACAGCAGCCAGGACCTGGGGGCTGAGTGCATCTGTGATATCACTCAGGTAGAGGGGGTAGCGGCGCCGGATGTCCCGCACCAGGCCCCCAAAGAGCCGACCTGTGCGCTGCAGAGGGTCATCTGGGCCACCAGGGACCCCTGGGCCCCCATTCAAGCCTGTGGTAGAAGATAGAAACACGATTAGAGGGGAGTCAGTGGGAATGGGGTGGCCACAGAGGCTGGGAAGCAGGGGCAAGAAGTGAGAGAGGGTGTCTTATGGGAAGGGGGCAGGCTGTGCCAGGATGTTTGAGGGCCGTGGAGGCTCAAGAAGCTTTGGCCTGGGCAGGACACTACCTAGGTCCTTGTAGAAGTTGGGGTCTGGCTTGGCAGTGCTGGACAGGTAGCGTCTCCGAAGCAGCTCCCTCTGCACAGGCACCAGGCTGAGCAAGGCCTGCTCAGAGGGAGCATCCGTGGGAGGCAGCACCAGGCTGCAGTCCAGGAAGCCCTCCAGGGAGTGCACCAGCTCCCTCCGGCTCTGGGCGAGGTAGGCATCTGTGCGGAACACCTGGGGGCAGGAGAGAGGATCAGGGTGGCCCAGACCTGCTGAGCAAAAAGATCTAGGAGTCGGCCTCCAGCAACCAGAATCCTCTCATCTAGCTCCATTGCTAGGATCTGCTCTTCCTGCCCCTCCACCCCTATCACCCAGTAAGGAAGGGCCCTGGGGATACAGAGACCCTGGGTAGGAAAAGGGGAAACATCTAAGGCAAACCTGGGGGGGGGGGGGATAGACAGCAGACCTGGCCAGCATAAGCCAGAATGACCAGGTAGAGCTGGGTCAGAGTGGGTCAGACTAGACTAGACCAAACCAGGCCAGGCCAGATCAGAAACAGTCCAGACTAAGCACACGTTAGGGCCTGTCTTAGCAGTGCTGGACAGGACTCCCCTGGCCAGCTGGAATAGAAGTGGCTGAATGAGACCCAATGAGCCAAATAGAACCTAACAGAAGTCAGCTGGGCCAGTCCAGCAAGAGAACAAACGTCCAGCCTTGGGTATCACCCGCTCCCTGGCTCCCCCAGCCCTCATAGGCCCCTCCTCACCCTTTCTGACATGAGGGTGGCAGCAGCCCGGCCAAGCTGAATATAGTCGGTGTAATAGGGCTTGGGGCCCAGCAACACAAAGAGGAAGCGCACAGGCACAGAGGGGTCGATGGCGTCCAGCTCCACGGCCTCTTGCAGCCGGACAAAGCCCAGCACTGGCTGCTTCAGGAAGTCGGCGCGGCCTGTGGGGGGACCAGGTGGTCAGACCAGGTTGAGGGGCACAAGGTGCATGTACCCAGGACAGGAGGCTGTTAGGTCTAGGCTCAGGGAAAGGCAGGCTGGGCCAGGACAGGAGACAGCAGCTGTGGGTGTTGAGGGCTGAGAAGCAGATACCAGCTCTTACCCACTAGCACCAGGGTAGCCTCGGAACCCGGGGGGATCTTTTCCAGAATTCCAGATGGTGAGGAACCTTCTGTGCTCCGCTCTCCCTGTAGGAAGGAGGGTGGTGAGGGGAGTCCTTAGGCTGCTCTGGACCCAGGAGACCTGCTCCCCACTCTCACTTCCTACCACAGCCCAGCTCCAAGGAACTTTCCAGCTCTCCTAAGCACCCCTGGTGCAAGCTCACCTGCTCACAGAAGAGCTGTGTCTCTAGCGAGGGCTGTTGGGACAGCAGAGGCTGAGAAGGCTCCCCAGAGCGTAACAGGACTGCGGGCTTCACCCCTCCCAGGTCCTCCAGGTCTCGGGCATGGCTGTAGGACATACAGGGGGCGTGGGCTCCATAAGTTGTTCAGGTTGGGCTATCAACACACTAGACTAGGGGTGGTAGGGAGCAAAGGTAGACATCAAGTAGAACTCTCCAGCAAGCAGAGCTGAGAGACCCTGGGGTGGGAGAAGCTCCAGGAGGCTGGAGAGCCCCCTCTCACAGAACACTGTGAATGTAAGTGGGTGGCCTCTGCTTGGAATGTCAGGACAAAAGAAAGGACAGCAAAGAACCTCAAGGGTCTAACTCTGAGCGGGGCGGCAGGGTCACCCCTCGTGAGGTGCTAGAGGTGGGAGTTGTGATGGAGGAAAAGTGGGGCCCTGGCTGGTGGGGGAGGGGCCACTTGGAGCAGGGCACATGGGGCCACTGGGCGAGGAGTCCAGGCCCTGGAAGGTAGGGGCACCTGTGTTTGAGCAGCAGGGTCCGGAGCAGTTCCTCTCTGTCCTCAGGCCGGATCTGCTCCTCGTAGATAAAGCTATCCAGCAGCTGGTTGGCCACTCCAGCCAGGGAGGTCTCCTTCAGGTCCAGGAGGACAGTACCTGCAGGCAGTGGGGGGTGAGCAGGCAGCTGGACTGCGGCCTCCCCAACAAGCCTCCCATGCAAGGGTCACGGGGGCCCAGTAGGGCTCACTTTTGGCAAAGATTTTCTGCAGTTCCAGGAGGCTCCAGAAGGTATGGTAAGATAGGTGCCGGTGGCCCCAGACCCCATTCTGCCCCAGGTTTTCCTCCAGTAGCATCCAGCGCGCTGCCTCCATCCATTGTAGCTCCTGGTTCTTCTCATCCATCACTAGTTCGTGAAGCTCCACGTACACCTGCGGCCCATGGGCCTGAGTTAGTCCATCAGGCCACGGGCAGGATCAACGGGAGCATGAGACCCCAAGGCCCAGTGGGTACCCAGAAGCTCTGGGAAGATTCTGGTGCGAGGCCCAGGGCCCCAGAGGGTTCAGGGCCAGACCCTGAGCTCAGAGTACGGGGACAGCAAAGGGCCCTATAGGTCTGGTCCACGCTGCCGGCTCTCGTCCCACGTTTCTCCCTAGGCCCTTACTYCAGCTTAGAAGGGGCTTGGAGAACCTCTGGATCCTTGGAGAACCTCTAGGGGTACTAGAGTGGCCTCTTGGGGGAGAAAGAGAAAATTAGGGCCTGGGGGCTGAGGATGAAGGGATCTGGGGGAGCCAGTGGCGTGGTTTCCTGACTCCAAGGCCTGCATGAATATGACTCCGTATGTCCTGGAGGCCAGGTGGCCACTTTCAGGGCCATAGCAGAGGGCAGGCCCAAGTTCCTAACCAGCGGGACAGCCTGGCAGCCAGCAGGGATTCGGGCCTGAGCGGAGGAGAACATGTATTTAATTCTTTGTGTCCCCACCAACCCAGCCAGGACCCAAGGGCCCCAGGCCTCACCCCTCAGCCGCCAGGTCTCTGTCCAGGGAGCTTCAGGAAAGGAACCCTGATCTCCCTCTTTGTGGGGGTGTCCCCTTCCCTTCCACCATTTTCCAGAACTCCACTCCTCTGCTTGTTTGTGGGGTCTCCCCAGCCTGAGCTGCCTCTGTCCCCCATAGCGGGTCCCAAAGGCAGTCTGGGAAAAAACTGGGGAGGCTGCATCCTCACCTCGTGGGTGCCCGGGCCTGTGGGGACGTGGGTGTAGTCTGTGGCTGTTGGCAGAGGCTCCTCCGGGAGAGCTGAAAACCGGAACCCAGAGGCTGGTGAGCCCTGCCTGGCCGTCTCCCTCCCTCACCCCTCCAGGCCCTGCCGTACCACCCGCTGTGAGCCGGGGAGACCCAGGCCCACTTCACTGCCCGTGGGCAGGATCCTAGTGTCTCCACTCCACGCTTGCCACTCAATGGGATGTGGCTCCCCATGCCTGGTTGGGGCCCAGCCTGGCTCTGTCACTCCCCGCCTGAGTCTTGTTGAGGATCCCTAGGGCAGGATAGTCCTGAGTCCCAAAGTGCAGGACAGACCCAAGGGCTCCTCCCTCCCCTCCCACCTCTGGGGGGACTAGACTCCTTTTCCTCTTCCCATATGTCTCAACCCGCCAGCTGGGTAGACTCCCAAAGCACACCAAGTTGGGGTGAGCCCCTTATATCCCTCCCTTCCACCCCACCCTGCCCTTGTTCCCCAGAGGGGCCTCTTAACTTCAATACCAATTGCCCGCACTTAAGTCCTGTTGACAGTAAACAGGTCCCCGCCTGGGGCTCCCCACCAAAGACCTTGGACAGACCAAGGAAGGTGGTGTGGGCTCCTAGGGTCTCTCTGCTCAGGGGATCCCCACTGCACCCTCCATTTCTCAGGTCCTCCAACCCCCAAGACAGAACGATGTTCCCCAAAAGGGCCCAACACCAGGCCTAAAGCTGGCATTGGATAGGTCTGGGTGGCCGGGGGGTTCGTGCCCTTGTCCCAGATAGGCCTGGCTGCTCTCTGACATGTGAAAGGGCACTGCAACGGGTGACTGGCCCTGCCCCCCGCCCGCCCCCAGTCACCTCCTATGATCATTTCAAACAAAGTGCTGTTTATCCTTCAATCAACCAGGATTGTGGGGAGAGCCAGCCGGGGCTGGGGAGGTGGGGTGGGGCTGTGGAGAAGAGGGGAGGACGTGTTCCTCCGCTGTCCCTGCTGGGGCTCAGCCTTCATCCTGGAAGAGGGCAGGAGAAGGACTCACCTTCTGGCTCCTCCACCTGCTGCACGGGGATGCCTGGGTCCTCATATTCCTCCTGCTCCAGTATCTCCTCCAGCACTTCTTCATAGTCCTCCTGTGGGGAGCGGCTCTCAAGACTGGGCTGCCACCAGGGCCCCTCAAAACCCCCTGAAGGCAAAGGCCAGGGCTGGCCTCCCAGGGCCCCAGACAGGAGCCCTGCAGATGCCAGGAGAGACCTACCTGCGAGTCCCCCATGGTGCTGTCCTGAGTGTCCACTTGTCAACGTGATCTGAGCCCCCAGCATAACCCGCACTGCGGGTCCCTGCAGGGGAAGGGCACAGGCTGAGTGAGGCCCAGGGCATCCTGAAGTCACCCCATTTTTCTCAGGAAGCTGCATAGCAGGGCTAGGAGATTGCAGGTGGTGGGAGACAGTGGGATCCCAGGAAGGAAGCAGAGGTGGGGCGTTGGGAGGAGCTGGGTCCAGGGCAGGCAGGGCTGGGGACCGGCAGCACAGGGAAGAAGAGCCTGCCTGGCCTCAATCTCAGCATGTTGTGAAGAAGGGGTAAGAGTTCAAGCCCAGCTCCAGCCTCCTGCGTTAGCCCTCACCTGGCTTCTCTTCCTGCCTGTCCCCAGCACTCCGCCAACGCCTGGGCACCACCTGACCCCTTTGCAGAGGGCTTGGCTCCCCTGAGGGTCTCCACGTCAACCCCTCTTCTCCCAGACATGGCTGCTTCCCACAGGACAGGAGGTGGCAGCGCCTTTGGAGAGGCCCACAGAGCCTGAAGGATGTGAACCTGCTTCTCTCCCCACCCTCATCCTAAGTTTGGGATTTAATTTGATTTATTTATTTATTTTGTGCAGGAGATTGAATCCAGGAGCACTTTGCCGCACCCCTARTCCTTTATATGTTTAATTTTGAGACAAGATCTCACTAAGTTGCTGAGGGTCTTGCAAAATTAATAAGGCTGGCCTCGAATTTGAGATCCTCCTGCCTCAGCTCCCAGAGCTGCTGCGATTACAGGTGTGCACTTGCTGCACCCAGCTTTACCTTAGATTAGGGTTTGTTTTGTTTTGTCTTTCAGTATTGGGAATCCATCCAGGGCCTCACATGTGCTAGTCAAGCAATTTACTGCTGAGCTACATCCACAGCCCTCTTATTGTTATTTATTTATTTTTTAAAAAATTTTGAGACAGGGTCTCACTGAGTCTCCCAGGGTGGCCTCAAACTTGTGATCCTCCTGCCTCAGATTCCCCGGGTAGCTAGGTTACAGGTATACTCTACCAAACCTGTCATTTCCCCACCCCATCTTGAACCCTCTCTCCTGCCCACTCTCCACCTAGCTTATTGGCCTCCCTCTGGTTTCTAGAACTTGTCAAGCCCTTTTCTGACCCAGGACCTTTGCACATCCAGTTTTCCATATTCTGAATGCACCTACTGCCAACACCTTCGCCCTTCTCACATCTCAGTTCAAATGTCACCTCTTCAGAGGCCCTCCCTGACCTCCCTCTAACATTCATTAACCCAGTCTGGCATTTTCCAGTTCTTTGATTCATTTGTATATACATTGCATGACAAAGGGAAGCCACATGAGTGCAAAGACCCTGGATGTCTCAAACCCATGAAGTCCCCCACTCCCAGCAGAGTGGTTGCCACATAGAAGGTGCTCAATAAATATTTGTCGAATGACTATGGTGATGGCTCCCCACTGCAGGCTTGGGGCTCAAGGTCTGAGGAGCCAAAATGACCAGGAACCATCCAGGGGGCTGCTGAGCCCTGGGCCTCAGTTTCTTCAGAGAGTCCCTGATGGAGAGGAAGTTATGTCCACGAGGAATGTGAGGACAGGTCCTTGGGGAGGGCAGGGGTCATCTATGATGGCTTAAAACTGGGTACAGAGGGGCCTCCTCTGCTGCCCTCACCCACTGCAACGCAGAACACTGGAGCCACAGGCGTTAGGGTCGGGTCCCCAAATGTGGCCACTCTGCTGAGTGCTGGGGACAGAGAAGAACGAGGCTACTCTCAGAAGCTTCCAGCCCTAGCTAGAAGGAAAACCAGGAACACAGGGCCACCTAGGTGATGTCCCAGAGATGGACCCAAGTTAGGAGGCCAACTGTGCCAGACGCCAGCCCTCTGGCTGTGTGACAGGAGGGAGAGCAGGACCCGGTGTGTGTGAGTGTGTGTGTGTGTGTGTGTGTGTGTGTGTGTGTGTGTGTGTGTGGTGGCAGGTGGGGTCGGGGTAGGTCTGGATGCACAGGTGGGGTTTGAAGGGCTGAGAGGTGGGAGGACAAGCCCAGGTGTGAGAGTGTCTGGGGCACAGGGACAGAGGCAGGGCTGCACAGGGGGCCTGGAGCAAGTCAGGCAGGGGGTTCCTTCCGAAAGATCTGCACAGGTACTGCATCTGCACAGGTACTGCATCTGCCCATCCTCAGCACCACAAAGAAAGAAAGAAAAAAAGGGGGAAAAGAAAAGAAAGAAAGGCAGAGACACCCCTCTGACAAAGGGGTGGTCCTGCAGTCCTGGGGAATAGAGAGAGGCATGGCTGAGGCCCTCAAACTGAGAGATGAGAGGCGTTCCTGCCTTGGGGTAACAACTGTCAGTCACAGGAGCATCCCAAGCCTGGCAGTGGGGCCACCCAGCTTAAGGATGTTCCTGGAGGGCTCTGTCACACAGCTCTGTCACACGTGCCCTGTCACGTGGCTGCCCTGTCTTCCCGCTTCTCTACCCCTCACTCTTCCTGGCCCATCTTTATTCTCTCTTTCTTCTCTGGTCTCACTCGCACAGTCTCCTCAGCCTCAGATCCTCAGTGATCTCAAGAGCGTCTGAGCCTTAGGTGCCAAAAGTCCCCCTGGTGGGCCTGGGACTGTGACCTTGGTTTCCCAGCCAAGGGATGGGATGGTCAGAGCCAGAGATTCCGGAGGTCCAGGCAGCCTCTGCTCAATGGACAGACCTCTCTCTGGGCTGTAGGCTTGGAGGGGCTTCCCACCCTGGCGCTGAGAATTCAGCCAATGACAGGAGGGGAGAATGGTGGTGCCGGGAGCCCAGCTGGGGCCTCAGAGGGTGCATCCAGAGTCAGATTGCTGCCCCTGCCTGGCCCAGCTGCCCCCAGCTGCAGGCCTCCTGCCTGGTGCTGATAACGGCCCCTTCCCCCTTCAGCCCTGCTCTGGGTTTGGAAGTGTGCCAAATACCTGCCTGGTGGGCCAGCCAGCCAGGGCCAGGCCAGATAAGGGTGAGCCGGGCATCTGGAACCCAGGAGGGGGAACACAGCTGGGGAGAGGCTGGGGGTGACAGATGACAGGGACAGCTTGTGTAATCAAACCCACACGGCACAGACAGCTGAACTGCTTGAACTCCCATAATCCCAGACCTCTCTGCGAGGTGGGTAATGTCAGTAGCCCCTTTTCACAGATGGGAAAACTGAGGTCCAGAGAGGCTGGCCTGCTTCAGTGGCCCAGCAGGCAGGCCCCAGGAGCAGGATGGAGCCCTGGCCTACCTGACTTCCGCCACATCTCTAACCATTATGCTGAGTTGCCTCCCAGAAAAGAGCTCTTAGTTGGTTTCTCATCCGTAGTTAAGAGCACAGATTCTGCAGTCAAATGACCTGTGTCCTTTTCCCAGTCCTACAGTTTACTAACTGTGTGACCTTGGGCAAATGACTCAACTTCTCTGTGCTTCAGTTTTTTCATCTGTAAAATGGGACTGATAGCAATGATACCTATTTGATAGACCCATTGTGCTCATTAAGTTCGTGAGGCATTTAGCACTGTGCCTGGCACATGAAGTCTCTGTATCAGTGTTAGCTGTCATTATCCCTGCCACCGCGAACAAGATCAGACTTGCCAACTCCATCCCCTTCTGCTTCCCCTTCACTCCCTGTGGAATCTGCCTGAGCTCAGTGTTTTGCAATCTGCAGGTCCTGGGGAGGGGATTCTCCTTTCCTCCCAAATATTCTCCAGGCTGGAAACATTGCCAGGTCCCCCCAGATAGACCCCAGGAAGTGTCCCAAATGGGAAGAAGTGCTGACCATCATCTCATCTCCCAGGGGGGATGTGGTGGCCTGGGAACCCTCATACTTGCAGGAAAGAGGGGTCTGGGGTAAGTGAGGTCAAAGTTTGTGGGATCCGAGGGGCAGGACCCAGCCTTGAGAGGTCAGCTCTGTGCCCTGACACACACATTAGCCACACACACACCTGTGTTCCTGAGGCCACCTGCAGCCCCACTCCCCTGCCGCAGGTGCTGCTGGGCCTGCGCCCTGTGGGGGCAGCACGCACCTCATGGCATTCCCATCCTACCCTCCTGCACCTCCCTCTGGGCACAGATTCAGCTGTCCACTTACACAGACCCTCAGGACAGGACCACCCCAGCCCCTTCCTGTCCAGCCTACCTGCTCAGGAGCCTCGGGTCCTTCAGCAAAGCCCTGCAGCTGCCGGTGCCCTCTGTGACCAGCTGAGCTCACAGCTGCTCGAATAGCACCGGGCCACACTCTGGCGCCCAGGGGCAGCTCCCAAACCCCTGACTCATGCCCCCGCCTCCTAATCTGCCCGCCCCACAGCTGGAGCCCCTTCCCACCCCCTGACCTGCTCCCACCCGGTGCCCCATAAACAGAGTTATCTTTCACCCACATCTGGACAGCTGTGCGTCGGGTTCACCCCACCCCAGCCTGGCCAGCCCCAAGGCCTCCCATGGGGCTCCTGGCCCCTAGGATTCTCCTGTGTCTTCCTCTGTGGACCGAGGGATGGTGGCTGGGTTCTCAGGGCTCTTGTCCTCTGCCCTCTGGATCTCTCTGGCTTGCTTGGTCCTCCTGCGCTCCCACCCAGGCCTCTGCTCTGGCCCCCAAATGCAAGCGCCCTTCTCTCTCCATCTTGGCGTCCTCCCTCAGGACCCTCACTCTGCAGCCTTCCCCGGGCACCTGCCGAGCGCTCAGGGGCAGGCTGCCTCCTCCCCTTCTTCTCCAACCACCCCCTGTCAAGACCCCGGCTGGCTCCCAGGAGCTGGCCTCTGGGTGCTCAGACACTGACACTCAGTCAACCTGAAGCAACGTCAGGTCAACAGAAAACACCGTCCCATCCACACACCAAGTTCAAGTTCCAAGCTGACAAAGCCCCAATGTCTGGGCA